AATTTTAGTTAACTTTCAGGTTTATTTCTATACGGCAACGTGAAACTTTGGGATTTGTCAAGGAGGATGCCTCCCTGGAAATCTTTTCTGGTTAACTGATTTCTATTCAGAAGAAACTCCAGAAAACTCCCCTGGCCAGATGTCGGTGAGGCCGAAACCCGCAACTAAATTGTATCAAAGTAAAAGGTTTTACTTTAATAAACATGAAATAATATTCATGTATGAAATTTGATCAGATCATGCATTGGTTCTATCTTCTTTAGAAGAATAAATTAAAGAGAAAAAGATTAATTTCATATATTATGCCTACCGTATAAACGTAATGTGTAAAAATGACTGTAACATAGGTTTATAGACAAAACATTGTGGAATTTTTAGATATACTCATTGTAACCGTTATTAACTCTCATAGATCAGAAATTAGAAGTCCTCCTATGTTTAATTTTATTTATAATTCCATCTCATAATCTTTACAATATTAATTTTTTACAGAATAATTCATTTTTATGCAACGTGTCTGTTTATAAATCTATTTTATCTTCACTTTTAATTAACAAATAATTTATAATTATGAATAGAAAACAAAAGCATTGTACAGATATACTTTATTTTATAAACCACACCCACTACATTTCATATTATTTAGTGTATAACGGTATAACGAGTTCAACAACGTTCGCAGTACGATAAACAAACGATAAGGCTTCTAATTAAGACCCGAAACTGACAAATGCAGATGCCGCCGTTGGGGCATAATTTAGAATTAATATTTATTTGGGAGCTATACTCTTGTCTCGGATGCCAGGTTTACAACTAATAACCCTTTAATTGTACTGAAAAAGAGTACACGATACAAATTTCTGAAGGTATTAAACCAATTGATGAATACCGTAAGTGGTTGCGAGAGAGAGAGAGAGAGAGAGAGAATTTACATAAGATTCGCCTGTAAAGAAATACTGTACCTGTAGATTGAAAGATCCGTTTGTACACCTGATGCAGGAGAGGATTCAATCTATCCTTTAGGAAGGTTAACTAAACCAGGAGGTTGGCACGTTAGAAGAATTTTGGATAATGTTCTGGGTCCTAGTCGATCGTATATCCATTTCGAAGTTAGAGTTAATAGGCGACGACTACCGTTATAGGACCAAGTGGCGACTCGTTGAGTCGGGGAGGAATGGGCGACGACTGCTTCATTGGACCGTCAGTTCCGATATTAAAACAGTAGAGCATGGCCGTGGAGGACAAGGAACGTCGCTTTCGCTGCCGAAATCGTGCAAACTGACGAGCTCTCAGGTAGTAAAGGATAAACAACGTCATAAAACTGTCAAATTACGTGGGAAGTATGTTCGCGTTTATAGAAAAATTATCGTGCTGCAATTTGAAAAAATTGTAGACTACAAATTCCGACTGATGTTCGTTGTCTATCAGTGTGGCTGTCTGACCTACCTTAATCTTCAGAAAGTTGTTAGATAGACGAAAGTCAAGATTAGAACAGGAGGCATACATTAACTATATAAGAACTACCGGTTTCGACCGGAAGTCACGTTCATGAATTGAACAAAATTTTTCCCTGAATGAAGTTAGATAGGTGACCGACACCACTTTATTGCTAACAGGAAAACTATGAAGTACAGGAGCAAGATACCACTAAAAGAATTGCGAACATTGAGACGAAAATTAGTAGCTCGGCATTGAGACGATGTCGCCATAAATAACTTACGAATTGCAATTACATTTTCTTATGTTCTGTTAACCTCGAGGTAAACTTGTAAGGTTACCTCGACGATGCCTAGGGACAGATATGCGGCTGAGAAAATTGGTCATCATGAAGGGCCCAATGTGACTGTTACTGCAGCTGACCACATGAAGCCATGGCCCATTGATCTTGACTGACATCAAGAACTTTTCCAGAACATTTCTAATCGTATTTTCTCTTTTTGTTCTTATGTTTTTGTGTGTGTGTTGTTTTTTAGTTTTCCAGTAATCTCTCCGAAGACGGAATGATCTGCAGGATGGCCGAGCCCCGTCCGGGATTTGAACCCAGGACCTCTCGTCTCGCCGACAGATGGCGTTTCGCTCTCCACATAAATTTTATCAAACGATGAGATCAGCCGATTAATTGTATCGTGTACAGTATTTTACACTCTGAAGGAAAACACTGTAGGTCTTCGCCGCTAATTGCTGTTGTGATTTAATACGATCTTCTAACGACAGCACTTCGCATTTCGGACATTTTCCAACAAACTGAAATGAATTTCCTTTGTTGCTAGACTAATTTATTAACACCTGCACCTAATTTCAAGGGTGGGAGAAGTGCTCGAGATGGATTCGAACGAGAGTTTAGACCAGGCATGTCAAACACGCGGCCTGCCAATACATAGATTGCGGCTCGCCGAGACTGTTTAAAATTTTTATATATCAAGCGACGTTTGAAGTTGGAAAGTTTGAACTTTTTGGTTGACGCTGGCGTCGCGTGTGGTTGCATGATCGCTTGGGACGCTGCGCGCTGGAGCGAGGCGTCAAATGAAAAACGGCGGCGAAGCCGAATGGAAATAAAAACGGAAGACGATCAGGAATATGACAGAACGCGGAGCGATCTAATCGGACACACGACACGTTTGTGTGGCCGTCAGCCATACTGATATTTGTATATTTGTACATATTTTATTATACTATGTTAGGCTCAGGAATCTTTCTTTGTTCTTTGTTCTAACTGTTCTAGAAATTTCCTTCCCAACCCTTTTTCCTTTGGGTGAGGTCACCGTTTCTGAGAAGTTAACTAGAAAAACAAAGGAGATGAGAGGTCCTGGGTCACGGGAACCAGGGGTGAGACACTTTTGGCTCGAACTCCAGAGAGAGAAGACGTACAAAGGTAGTGCTCCAGGTCTGAAGAGAGAGGCTGGGTAGTAAGTGGAGCTGCTCCTATTTCAACAATAAGGACATTCGATGAAAGAAGATATTGATAGGACACCAAGTTTGAGGTGTAGAGAAGGAAGGAACAGAGAAAGAACTGTTCAGAGAAAAGACTGAGACAGTGACCCATCCAAGACCACGAGGCCGAAAATCCCGGGTATTTCCTTCTTCCCCTTCTTACTATTCTTAGATGCTTATTTTTTTCTTTTTCTTTTTCTTTAGTTATAAGTTATAGTTATATGTCAACTCGCGGTTATTTGTCGTGTCGCATGGAATTATTGCTCATTAAAAGGGGTCCAATGCCTGTTGTATAATACTCCAGTTTTGCGTTGTAAGTTGGGATTAACTGATAAAGAACCGGTTCAAGGCGAAAATAAATTATTTGTTAAAAAGGCAACTCGTAATTTTTGTGTTACTGTGTTCGCGGAGTATCATCATATCGCTAGGAACATCACATTTGTACAAGTCGTCACAAAGTTTGCGAATGATATTTTGAACTCTAAAGTGGATTTTGGTTTTTTATTCATATTAAACTAAACAGTGATTTAATAAAAAATATAATCAAACTTCAAGAACAATGAGTAAGAAAAGATCAATTGAAGAGGAACATCGTAATTTTCAAGAAAAATGGGAATTGCAATATTTTTGTGTCCAAAACAAAAATAAAATATTATGCTTGATATGTAAAAACTCTATTTCAGTTCCTAAGGAATATAATATTAAAAGGCACTATGACAGAAATCATAAAAGAAACTATGACCAATACATTGAAAAACTTCGTGAAGACAAATTGTCGGAATTGAAATCAATTCTTCAAAAACAACAAAGTTTATTCACTAAATCTGTTGAAGACAATACAGCTGCTGTAAAAGTTAGTTATATATTATCACATTTAATCGCAAGTAGATCAAAACCATTTACTGAATCCCCTTCAGTAAATTTATTAGTGAATGCTTAATTAAAGCGGCGAAAGTATTATGTCCAGCAGAAATAAAAAAATTTAAAAGTGTAAGTTTAAGTCGAAATACTGTAGCTAGCAGAGTTGATGAAATAGCCGAAAATTTGAGAAATAAGCATAATTCAACAATATCAACGTTTCAAGCCTACTCTATTGCAATTGATGAAAGTACAGATATTCCAAATATCGCTCAGCTAGCCGTTTTTATTCGCGGATGCCATGTTAATTTAAAAATAAATGAAGAACTTTTGGAAATCATTCCTATGCATAATACAACTACTGGAGCTGATATTTTTGATGCATTTATGAAAGTTTTAAAGAAGAATAAGTTACCATTGGAAAAGTTGGTTTGTCTTGCAACTGATGGTGCACCTACCATGACCGGTATTACTAAAGGAGTTGTTGCAAGATTAAAAGAAACATGCAAACAGCATGGTAATAATAATTTTGAACATTTTCATTGTATTATTCACCAGCAAGTACTGTGCTGCAAAGTTTTAAATATCGGACATGTTTTAAAAATAGTCACCAAAATTGTAAATTATATTCGAGCACGTTGACTTAATCATCGTCAATTTGCTTCATTTCTGGAAGATATAGAATGTGAATACACCGATCTACCATATTATACGGAACTTCAATGACTTTCCAGTCATAAAGTGTTAAAACGATTCTTCAAATTGCTGGACGAAATCATAATTTTCTTGGAAACAAAAAATTATGAATGTGCTGAATTAAAAGATGGACAATGGATAAAGGACCTGACTTTCTCAGTTGATATAACAAATCATCTTAATCAACTTAATCTTAAGCTTCGAGGCAAAAAATCATGTTGTTACAACGCTATTTAATAATATTAACGCTTTCAAACAAAAACTATTACTTTGGCGAAAACAGATAGAAAAAGAAAATTTGTCTCACTTTGAAAGCTGTCAATATCTATTGCTTAAATCACCTAAATTAAAATTTACAGAATATTTTCACCAAATTAAATTGTTAGAAACGGAATTCGATCGAAGATTTTCTGATTTTAAAAGCTGTGAATTACAATTTCGTCTTTTTACTTCACCTCTATCTATCCATATTGAAATTGTTGATGAAAACTTACAAATAGAATTAATTGAAATCTGATGTGATAATTTGCTGAAGCAAAAATATATGTAAGTTGGAATTCCAGATTTTTATACATAATTATCTGTAGATCGGTTTCCTAAAATGTTATCGTTTGTTACGCGTATACTGGCTATGTTCTGAAGCACTTATTTATGCGAGCAACTATTTTCTTTAATGAAAAATAACAAAAATTCAGAAAAGTCGAGATTAACCGATCAACATTTATCATCAATTTTAAAAATTCCATCAGCTCAATATATTCAACCAAATTTTGTTGACTTGCTTTGCCAAAAACATTGTCAAATATCTTCTAAAAAGTAATATTAAACCGTAATTTTGTTTATTTCTTATAACTTTTATTTTTGTTTTTATAAAATATATAAAAAATTTATAGTTTAAGTTTAAAAAATAACATGAAATATAAAACGTCTATGTATATATAATAAATTTATATGTATGTATGTATATAAATTGAGCTTGACATTGAGTCTAATAAATACATTATATAATCATTCTAAAAATCATATTTTATTAATTTTTTGAACAGCGTGTCGTATTTTATCGTATTTTAATTATTAAATACCGTAAAAATCGTATTTTATAATTTTTTTTTTTGAAAACATGCGGCCCCCAACTTAATACAAAATAGATCATGTGGCCCGTAATATCATATGAGTTTGACATGCCTGGTTTAGACTAATTCATTATATTAGGAGGTGGAAACATTGTTGAGATGGGTTCTTACAATAGTTTAGACCAGATACATTCGCGAAAGTGGTCGCTTATTACAGGTGTTGTATGTTGTTTCGGACCGAAAATCCATGCCCGCGGTCGCGTTACACAGGTGGTCGTTTAATAAAAATAACTTATACGAAGACTCTATGGATAAACTATTCCGTGCCAGAAATTTTTGCCCGTTTTGACAGGTGCCCGTCGAATGCAGGTGGTCGCCTAAGCAGTTTTCACTGTATATCTATACTAATATTATAAAGAGGTAATGTTTGTAAGTATGTATGTAAGTTTATTTGACGCAGGTAATCTCCGAAACTACTCATCCGATTTCAAAAATTCTTTCACCAATATTTAGAATGGAACCTCGGGGTGGACATAGGATGTATATTATTTCGTTAAACATTCATATAAATTAAAAGATATAATCTAGGTTAATGTTTTTATGTCCAACAGATGGCGCTACGAGTACGACGCCCTAAGTTTGCTTTTCTGTGAAAATGAACTACAGCAGATCATCTTCTATCTATAAGTATAAATGAAAATGTAATGTTCGTTTGTTCCTACCGATTTTTTTTTTTGAAATTTTGACACAACGCTGCATTCGAATAAGCACGTGTTTTTATATAATATACATGTCGAAATCCTCGCCCAGGAGATGGACAGCTTAAGGCTTACCAATAAGAACTCTGCTTCTATTTATACTATTTCACATAAGGTTTTTTGCGTTTTTGATTGCGTTTTAATTGGGTACGTCAAGAAAATGTGCACTAATGGATTTTTCAAAAAATTCCCCCCCACGGGAGAAGTGTTATACATTTATAATAGATACATTTTGAGCCACAACGCCGCGTGGCGGGGAACGACGTTTTAAGTTCAAACATAAATTGAAATGATTTTCGTGTCTCTGGGTCAACGAAAGAGCTTAAGCTCCCGTAGTTTCCATTAAATCCTTATGATTTATTATAAAAGCTGAAACACTAATTTACTACATCATTGAAAATCAAAGAATGACATTTTACTCCTTGAGTTTTCAAAAACATTCCATGTTTACTAGCGTAATTCGTGTACGTAATCCGTAACTATAAACTTTTTATTAACTGAATAGGGTTGTCTTTTCCATCAAAACAAACGCCGTTTATTTGTTAATTTATTACAGAACAAACACTTTTGAGACTTGATACGAATAGAGTTTATCCTCGACGATCCAGATTATTCTGTCGATAGAAACATGTTGTACCATAATGTTAATGCCAGAGACGTAAAACGATATCTAAAGGCATGGAGATAAGCTATAAAAAAAACTTGGTATGAGTAGAAACATTTTGTAATAATTACAACACTATCGGACAATTGTTAATGTCAAATATTAAATAGTTATGTTATTATCCTAAATTATCATAATAATTTAGGATTTAAATATTCAAAAATTCAATAAATATGTTCTAAATTCCATTTTGAATTTGAACTAAACAAACGTTCGATATTACGTTGTTTCCGATCCGAACACAATTTCACACTTTTTTTATTTCATTGATGACTGTGCAAACAGACTTTAACGAAATTTGTCAAGCTATTTGGCACGTGTTAACAAAAGATTACGTAAAGTTTCCAAGCAGAAAAGAATTTGCCAATCTTGCGAAGAAATTTTAAAATAAAATGGAAGTTATTTCATGGCGTTGATGCAATGAATGAAAAACTTGTTGTGAGAGAGAGACAGATTTTCGATATAAAATTTCCACCACTCGGACAGAATTAGCACATTATCGATGGACTGGACACGTAAAATTTTCCAGGTTTTTTTTCACGCATATAACGCATAAATAATGACCACATTGACTCTAAATGATGTTCTCGAGAAACATTTTTTTAAGTAAATCGCCTACGTCTTTCTCTGTGATTACCTACAAAAAAACAAAACAAAATGAAATTCCGAACTAAAATTACTTCTCATACGTAATTCTAAGCACGTTTCTAATTGTTGCGTAAACAATAGATAGTAATAATAGATTTTCGGCCATTGTCGAAGAGTTTTTTGTTCGATGCTCAATTGTCGAATGCGATATTTGTTCTTCAAGTTAAGTTTAATGAGTAAGTTAAAGTACCTCTTTATTGTATAATTATATTAATTGCTTTTTAACGTGTCAAAAATGATTATAAAAACATAAAATAAAGAGTAATTTTCGATCAGATGTTTAAAAATCCCAATAGAATGTTATAAGTTGATATTCTTAGTGCCATTCGGGATATTTAACTTTGCATTCATTTTCCGCTTCAGACAATTTTATCATTAAACGTATTTTCTTCAAATAAATAACAATTTATTATTTCGTTTCTGCATCTTATCCAATTTCTTAATAATGGGTTCCATTAATATTTATTAATGGAACCCAATCATCAAATGAACTTAATCATCAAAACATCCAGTCATTTATTTTACGGGAATAACTCTTCAGTAAGCAATATTGCATATAAATTATTGGTTTTTCGATTGTAACAATTTACACTTTCCACAGAATTAATAATATCAAACACAATGTAATATTTATGTCAGAAATAAATTGACTTTTGCTACATTTTTAGTTTTATTTTTGTGGATTTTCAATGGAATAAATTTCCGAAATATGTTTCCACAATAAGAATTTCATCTGTTTATTTCACTATACTGTTTGTCATTTCCTTTATTTTCCTCTTTTAAATTTTTATATATAAATATGAAACTCACGCGAAAAACTTTTACGAATTGCTGTGTTTATTGCGTTTACCTTTATTCTCTAGTTTATAATTATCAAATGGATTTACGTGATAAAAGTCAATATTCCGCGTGTGAAAACGATGTTACTGCGGAAGATTCTTTCATTAGTATAGTGAATGCAATCCTACGACTGACGTCTGCAATTAATGCCGATTTTCCGGAAGAAACTGAATCGTCTTCTTTCGTAAGTTACAATTCAATGCAAATAATTTAAAAATTCTTATCATCCAAAGGTTTAAAACTGAAAAACAAAACACGAGAAATGCACAATCTTCTGTAAAGTGTCGTTTGTAACGGCTGCAAATAAATGATTTTTTTATAAAAAAATAACATTTATTAATATAATAAAAGAACATCTCGACTACTGTAAGATTATTCTATCAGAAATGAGAATTTTTCACATTTTACAGGATTCCGACGACGAAGAGGATGGAAATTTCTGGTTTCTGGAAACTACTCGATGCGAAAACAGACCTTTGAAGAAAGAGTTCATATTTCTAGAGAAGCATTCATTGGTCAAAAAAATAATATGTGAGGAAGACGAAGACGATGACGTCAATATTAAATTGAATGAAGGTGAGGTTACAAACAGATTATAAAGAATTATAAAATAAGTTGTTAAAGTTATTAAGAAATCTTTTAATGTTAAACTCATTTTGTTCAAATTTATTTAAATTATAAAACTTAATATTAGTAATCCATTTGCAGTATTTCACGTGTGTTGTATGTCGTAGTTTATTATATTCGAAACAATTCAAAAATAGATCATTCATTTCTACAAAGATTCCATTTATTTCGTCAAAAACACTTTCGATGATGATTTTTGTTAGTGTTTAACTAACAATTTTAACCACATTATACAAATATTCAGCAGTGAACATGATTAATTACGAGTAATCCAACAAATAAAATAATTGCAAAAAACACAACCTTAACATTGACGAAATCATTTATTGTCGTGCCCACTTCTCGTATCAAATTTAATCGAAAATTAATTTATCACTTTTCAAAGTATATGAAGAGAAATTTCTAATAATTTTAATAAAATTAAATAAATTTTATTATTCTGGCTGTTATAATATTTGACCTTTGACGTTTTTGGAACGGTTGTGACACCTCCGTTCAGCAAAAGTAAAGAAACGAAGCGCCGAAATATGTGTGTGTGTTTTCACGACTATTTCATTTAATATCACTGAATGTATAAACATTACAAACTGAAATTTGCACGGTAACTTGTTTAATTAATAAGGGACATCGTGGACATTCAATTTTGATGGCTGAAAATAAAAAAATATAAGTGGGTCACCCATCACGTCTCGAAAATAGTCGGTGTTTATGAAGATTTTTCAGGCTTTTAGAGCTTACAATTTTCTATACAAGTCGTCCCTATTTTGAAACTTCTACGCATTCTTTGAGTGTGCGACGTAAACAGACAGTGTATAAATGTAAAATAAACGCTCTTATATACATATAAATTTGTTGGAAATATAATTACCGACATCTGGTGTAATTAATAAAAGTCGTAGTCTACGCCTGTATCCAAATATACTTAAAAAACAGACAATTCGTACTAATAATTGTATAAATTTTGACTGTATTATATTTTTTATCCTTAGATTTATTCACAATGGAAGAAATCCGATTTGACATTTATTTACATAGTAATTATATTGAATTACCTTACTGTTTACACAATAAAACTACTTTCTGTCTTCCTATACAGTTTATATAGAAATATAGTGATATACTTCTACATAAACTTATTAGCCTGATGCATTTTTTATAACGAATGTGTTTGAATAGGTGTAGACATTACGATATAAAATTACATAAAGTTATATTCTTAAATGATTTTTGTAGATAAGAATAAAAAGAAAGAGATGACTGGAACAAATAAACAGTCGAAAAAATTAATTCGATTGAATAAGAGAAAAAATACTGATGGTCGATTTGCATACAAAAGTCAATCGGATGATGATGATGAAGTAAGAAAATATTTTCTAACTTTCTCTAATTTACACTTATGAATTCATTCGCCGAATTTCAATATTATTTTGATATTTTAAGACTGGTTTTCTCTCTCGTGTTCGCAATGATTTTATACATTCGGATTATAAAGTTCATGTTCGAAATTTTAAATTATAATGAGTATGAAAAAAATTGTAAATATTACTTTGAGAATAACCAAAATTTGCTAAAGACAAATTATGATATTCAATTATTAAAGAATTTTCTGTTACAAGCGAACACGTCATCATTTGTGCTTGTCGTTGATAAAATCCGTTTAGTTTAATTAAAGTCGTTTACTAAATGTCCAACATTTAAATTTATCCATTTTTATAAAATCAACAGAAGACAACACGTGTCCTTTTAATAGTAAATTTTTAAATCATTGGAGAAATTTAAACATATCATTTTTTATTAATTTTGAGTATTTATTGTAATTATACTGGCATCACTTTCGTAATATTATTTTTCAACAAACATTGTAATTTGAATCTGCGGATAATTTAATATTCATATTTTATTTACGAAATATTTCTATTATTTGCAGGAAACGACCAAATGTTTCGATGTTTTCGTGAAATTTTTTTGCAGATTTCCATCTATTATCTGCTCTTGTTTCAAAAGAAAAAAGTAAAATGGCGGAATGTACATCATCGTCTATATTTTAATCGTTACATTCCGTTCAGCACATAAAAGGAAAAAAAAAATATTACATTTTATTTAATATTATTAGAAAAATTTATGGAACGCACATTACAAAATTTATTGGTCAAAATATCTGGTGTGCAACTTTCATCGGCAGGCGCCCTGGCGATCTGTACATTCGGCCGATTTATTAATTCTTAATAAATACATAGCAAAGCATAATTTGGAAAAAATGAAATGAAAAGTTAAAAAAACATTGGAATTGTAAAAATTACATTTCGAAAAAGTTTCATAAAAATGGAAGTTTCGAAAATTTAATCAAAAATTTACAAGAAAAATTCAAAATTAAAATATAAATCGTATAAAAATCAACATAATTCAAAATGCATGCCTCTGCAAGGGAAGAAACCAAAAGACATCAGAAGGAATTGGCAAGGTGTCCCTTCGTAGAGGCATAATCACCATACTTGTCTCTACAAGGGAAAAAGCGCAGGTCATCAGAAGGAATTGGCAAGGTGTCCCTTCGTGGAGGCATAATCACCATACTTGTCTCTACAAGGGAAAAAGCGCAGGTCATCAGAAGGAATTGGCAAGGTGTCCCTTCGTGGAGGCATAATCACCATACTTGTCTCTACAAGGGAAAAAGCGCAGGTCATCAGAAGGAATTGGCAAGGTGTCCCTTCGTGGAGGCATAATCACCATACTTGTCTCTACAAGGGAAAAAGCGCAGGTCATCAGAAGGAATTGGCAAGGTGTCCCTTCGTGGAGGCATAATCACCATACTTGTCTCTACAAGGGAAAAAGCGCAGGTCATCAGAAGGAATTGGCAAGGTGTCCCTTCGTGGAGGCATAATCACCATACTTGTCTCTACAAGGGAAAAAGCGCAGGTCATCAGAAGGAATTGGCAAGGTGTCCCTTCGTGGAGGCATAATCACCATACTTGTCTCTACAAGGGAAAAAGCGCAGGTCATCAGAAGGAATTGGCAAGGTGTCCCTTCGTGGAGGCATAATCACCATACTTGTCTCTACAAGGGAAAAAGCGCAGGTCATCAGAAGGAATTGGCAAGGTGTCCCTTCGTGGAGGCATAATCACCATACTTGTCTCTACAAGGGAAAAAGCGCAGGTCATCAGAAGGAATTGGCAAGGTGTCCCTTCGTGGAGGCATAATCACCATACTTGTCTCTACAAGGGAAAAAGCGCAGGTCATCAGAAGGAATTGGCAAGGTGTCCCTTCGTGGAGGCATAATCACCATACTTGTCTCTACAAGGGAAAAAGCGCAGGTCATCAGAAGGAATTGGCAAGGTGTCCCTTCGTGGAGGCATAATCACCATACTTGTCTCTACAAGGGAAAAAGCGCAGGTCATCAGAAGGAATTGGCAAGGTGTCCCTTCGTGGAGGCATAATCACCATACTTGTCTCTACAAGGGAAAAAGCGCAGGTCATCAGAAGGAATTGGCAAGGTGTCCCTTCGTGGAGGCATAATCACCATACTTGTCTCTACAAGGGAAAAAGCGCAGGTCATCAGAAGGAATTGGCAAGGTGTCCCTTCGTGGAGGCATAATCACCATACTTGTCTCTACAAGGGAAAAAGCGCAGGTCATCAGAAGGAATTGGCAAGGTGTCCCTTCGTGGAGGCATAATCACCATACTTGTCTCTACAAGGGAAAAAGCGCAGGTCATCAGAAGGAATTGGCAAGGTGTCCCTTCGTGGAGGCATAATCACCATACTTGTCTCTACAAGGGAAAAAGCGCAGGTCATCAGAAGGAATTGGCAAGGTGTCCCTTCGTGGAGGCATAATCACCATACTTGTCTCTACAAGGGAAAAAGCGCAGGTCATCAGAAGGAATTGGCAAGGTGTCCCTTCGTGGAGGCATAATCACCATACTTGTCTCTACAAGGGAAAAAGCGCAGGTCATCAGAAGGAATTGGCAAGGTGTCCCTTCGTGGAGGCATAATCACCATACTTGTCTCTACAAGGGAAAAAGCGCAGGTCATCAGAAGGAATTGGCAAGGTGTCCCTTCGTGGAGGCATAATCACCATACTTGTCTCTACAAGGGAAAAAGCGCAGGTCATCAGAAGGAATTGGCAAGGTGTCCCTTCGTGGAGGCATAATCACCATACTTGTCTCTACAAGGGAAAAAGCGCAGGTCATCAGAAGGAATTGGCAAGGTGTCCCTTCGTGGAGGCATAATCACCATACTTGTCTCTACAAGGGAAAAAGCGCAGGTCATCAGAAGGAATTGGCAAGGTGTCCCTTCGTGGAGGCATAATCACCATACTTGTCTCTACAAGGGAAAAAGCGCAGGTCATCAGAAGGAATTGGCAAGGTGTCCCTTCGTGGAGGCATAATCACCATACTTGTCTCTACAAGGGAAAAAGCGCAGGTCATCAGAAGGAATTGGCAAGGTGTCCCTTCGTGGAGGCATAATCACCATACTTGTCTCTACAAGGGAAAAAGCGCAGGTCATCAGAAGGAATTGGCAAGGTGTCCCTTCGTGGAGGCATAATCACCATACTTGTCTCTACAAGGGAAAAAGCGCAGGTCATCAGAAGGAATTGGCAAGGTGTCCCTTCGTGGAGGCATAATCACCATACTTGTCTCTACAAGGGAAAAAGCGCAGGTCATCAGAAGGAATTGGCAAGGTGTCCCTTCGTGGAGGCATAATCACCATACTTGTCTCTACAAGGGAAAAAGCGCAGGTCATCAGAAGGAATTGGCAAGGTGTCCCTTCGTGGAGGCATAATCACCATACTTGTCTCTACAAGGGAAAAAGCGCAGGTCATCAGAAGGAATTGGCAAGGTGTCCCTTCGTGGAGGCATAATCACCATACTTGTCTCTACAAGGGAAAAAGCGCAGGTCATCAGAAGGAATTGGCAAGGTGTCCCTTCGTGGAGGCATAATCACCATACTTGTCTCTACAAGGGAAAAAGCGCAGGTCATCAGAAGGAATTGGCAAGGTGTCCCTTCGTGGAGGCATAATCACCATACTTGTCTCTACAAGGGAAAAAGCGCAGGTCATCAGAAGGAATTGGCAAGGTGTCCCTTCGTGGAGGCATAATCACCATACTTGTCTCTACAAGGGAAAAAGCGCAGGTCATCAGAAGGAATTGGCAAGGTGTCCCTTCGTGGAGGCATAATCACCATACTTGTCTCTACAAGGGAAAAAGCGCAGGTCATCAGAAGGAATTGGCAAGGTGTCCCTTCGTGGAGGCATAATCACCATACTTGTCTCTACAAGGGAAAAAGCGCAGGTCATCAGAAGGAATTGGCAAGGTGTCCCTTCGTGGAGGCATAATCACCATACTTGTCTCTACAAGGGAAAAAGCGCAGGTCATCAGAAGGAATTGGCAAGGTGTCCCTTCGTGGAGGCATAATCACCATACTTGTCTCTACAAGGGAAAAAGCGCAGGTCATCAGAAGGAATTGGCAAGGTGTCCCTTCGTGGAGGCATAATCACCATACTTGTCTCTACAAGGGAAAAAGCGCAGGTCATCAGAAGGAATTGGCAAGGTGTCCCTTCGTGGAGGCATAATCACCATACTTGTCTCTACAAGGGAAAAAGCGCAGGTCATCAGAAGGAATTGGCAAGGTGTCCCTTCGTGGAGGCATAATCACCATACTTGTCTCTACAAGGGAAAAAGCGCAGGTCATCAGAAGGAATTGGCAAGGTGTCCCTTCGTGGAGGCATAATCACCATACTTGTCTCTACAAGGGAAAAAGCGCAGGTCATCAGAAGGAATTGGCAAGGTGTCCCTTCGTGGAGGCATAATCACCATACTTGTCTCTACAAGGGAAAAAGCGCAGGTCATCAGAAGGAATTGGCAAGGTGTCCCTTCGTGGAGGCATAATCACCATACTTGTCTCTACAAGGGAAAAAGCGCAGGTCATCAGAAGGAATTGGCAAGGTGTCCCTTCGTGGAGGCATAATCACCATACTTGTCTCTACAAGGGAAAAAGCGCAGGTCATCAGAAGGAATTGGCAAGGTGTCCCTTCGTGGAGGCATAATCACCATACTTGTCTCTACAAGGGAAAAAGCGCAGGTCATCAGAAGGAATTGGCAAGGTGTCCCTTCGTGGAGGCATAATCACCATACTTGTCTCTACAAGGGAAAAAGCGCAGGTCATCAGAAGGAATTGGCAAGGTGTCCCTTCGTGGAGGCATAATCACCATACTTGTCTCTACAAGGGAAAAAGCGCAGGTCATCAGAAGGAATTGGCAAGGTGTCCCTTCGTGGAGGCATAATCACCATACTTGTCTCTACAAGGGAAAAAGCGCAGGTCATCAGAAGGAATTGGCAAGGTGTCCCTTCGTGGAGGCATAATCACCATACTTGTCTCTACAAGGGAAAAAGCGCAGGTCATCAGAAGGAATTGGCAAGGTGTCCCTTCGTGGAGGCATAATCACCATACTTGTCTCTACAAGGGAAAAAGCGCAGGTCATCAGAAGGAATTGGCAAGGTGTCCCTTCGTGGAGGCATAATCACCATACTTGTCTCTACAAGGGAAAAAGCGCAGGTCATCAGAAGGAATTGGCAAGGTGTCCCTTCGTGGAGGCATAATCACCATACTTGTCTCTACAAGGGAAAAAGCGCAGGTCATCAGAAGGAATTGGCAAGGTGTCCCTTCGTGGAGGCATAATCACCATACTTGTCTCTACAAGGGAAAAAGCGCAGGTCATCAGAAGGAATTGGCAAGGTGTCCCTTCGTGGAGGCATAATCACCATACTTGTCTCTACAAGGGAAAAAGCGCAGGTCATCAGAAGGAATTGGCAAGGTGTCCCTTCGTGGAGGCATAATCACCATACTTGTCTCTACAAGGGAAAAAGCGCAGGTCATCAGAAGGAATTGGCAAGGTGTCCCTTCGTGGAGGCATAATCACCATACTTGTCTCTACAAGGGAAAAAGCGCAGGTCATCAGAAGGAATTGGCAAGGTGTCCCTTCGTGGAGGCATAATCACCATACTTGTCTCTACAAGGGAAAAAGCGCAGGTCATCAGAAGGAATTGGCAAGGTGTCCCTTCGTGGAGGCATAATCACCATACTTGTCTCTACAAGGGAAAAAGCGCAGGTCATCAGAAGGAATTGGCAAGGTGTCCCTTCGTGGAGGCATAATCACCATACTTGTCTCTACAAGGGAAAAAGCGCAGGTCATCAGAAGGAATTGGCAAGGTGTCCCTTCGTGGAGGCATAATCACCATACTTGTCTCTACAAGGGAAAAAGCGCAGGTCATCAGAAGGAATTGGCAAGGTGTCCCTTCGTGGAGGCATAATCACCATACTTGTCTCTACAAGGGAAAAAGCGCAGGTCATCAGAAGGAATTGGCAAGGTGTCCCTTCGTGGAGGCATAATCACCATACTTGTCTCTACAAGGGAAAAAGCGCAGGTCATCAGAAGGAATTGGCAAGGTGTCCCTTCGTGGAGGCATAATCACCATACTTGTCTCTACAAGGGAAAAAGCGCAGGTCATCAGAAGGAATTGGCAAGGTGTCCCTTCGTGGAGGCATAATCACCATACTTGTCTCTACAAGGGAAAAAGCGCAGGTCATCAGAAGGAATTGGCAAGGTGTCCCTTCGTGGAGGCATAATCACCATACTTGTCTCTACAAGGGAAAAAGCGCAGGTCATCAGAAGGAATTGGCAAGGTGTCCCTTCGTGGAGGCATAATCACCATACTTGTCTCTACAAGGGAAAAAGCGCAGGTCATCAGAAGGAATTGGCAAGGTGTCCCTTCGTGGAGGCATAATCACCATACTTGTCTCTACAAGGGAAAAAGCGCAGGTCATCAGAAGGAATTGGCAAGGTGTCCCTTCGTGGAGGCATAATCACCATACTTGTCTCTACAAGGGAAAAAGCGCAGGTCATCAGAAGGAATTGGCAAGGTGTCCCTTCGTGGAGGCATAATCACCATACTTGTCTCTACAAGGGAAAAAGCGCAGGTCATCAGAAGGAATTGGCAAGGTGTCCCTTCGTGGAGGCATAATCACCATACTTGTCTCTACAAGGGAAAAAGCGCAGGTCATCAGAAGGAATTGGCAAGGTGTCCCTTCGTGGAGGCATAATCACCATACTTGTCTCTACAAGGGAAAAAGCGCAGGTCATCAGAAGGAATTGGCAAGGTGTCCCTTCGTGGAGGCATAATCACCATACTTGTCTCTACAAGGGAAAAAGCGCAGGTCATCAGAAGGAATTGGCAAGGTGTCCCTTCGTGGAGGCATAATCACCATACTTGTCTCTACAAGGGAAAAAGCGCAGGTCATCAGAAGGAATTGGCAAGGTGTCCCTTCGTGGAGGCATAATCACCATACTTGTCTCTACAAGGGAAAAAGCGCAGGTCATCAGAAGGAATTGGCAAGGTGTCCCTTCGTGGAGGCATAATCACCATACTTGTCTCTACAAGGGAAAAAGCGCAGGTCATCAGAAGGAATTGGCAAGGTGTCCCTTCGTGGAGGCATAATCACCATACTTGTCTCTACAAGGGAAAAAGCGCAGGTCATCAGAAGGAATTGGCAAGGTGTCCCTTCGTGGAGGCATAATCACCATACTTGTCTCTACAAGGGAAAAAGCGCAGGTCATCAGAAGGAATTGGCAAGGTGTCCCTTCGTGGAGGCATAATCACCATACTTGTCTCTACAAGGGAAAAAGCGCAGGTCATCAGAAGGAATTGGCAAGGTGTCCCTTCGTGGAGGCATAATCACCATACTTGTCTCTACAAGGGAAAAAGCGCAGGTCATCAGAAGGAATTGGCAAGGTGTCCCTTCGTGGAGGCATAATCACCATACTTGTCTCTACAAGGGAAAAAGCGCAGGTCATCAGAAGGAATTGGCAAGGTGTCCCTTCGTGGAGGCATAATCACCATACTTGTCTCTACAAGGGAAAAAGCGCAGGTCATCAGAAGGAATTGGCAAGGTGTCCCTTCGTGGAGGCATAATCACCATACTTGTCTCTACAAGGGAAAAAGCGCAGGTCATCAGAAGGAATTGGCAAGGTGTCCCTTCGTGGAGGCATAATCACCATACTTGTCTCTACAAGGGAAAAAGCGCAGGTCATCAGAAGGAATTGGCAAGGTGTCCCTTCGTGGAGGCATAATCACCATACTTGTCTCTACAAGGGAAAAAGCGCAGGTCATCAGAAGGAATTGGCAAGGTGTCCCTTCGTGGAGGCATAATCACCATACTTGTCTCTACAAGGGAAAAAGCGCAGGTCATCAGAAGGAATTGGCAAGGTGTCCCTTCGTGGAGGCATAATCACCATACTTGTCTCTACAAGGGAAAAAGCGCAGGTCATCAGAAGGAATTGGCAAGGTGTCCCTTCGTGGAGGCATAATCACCATACTTGTCTCTACAAGGGAAAAAGCGCAGGTCATCAGAAGGAATTGGCAAGGTGTCCCTTCGTGGAGGCATAATCACCATACTTGTCTCTACAAGGGAAAAAGCGCAGGTCATCAGAAGGAATTGGCAAGGTGTCCCTTCGTGGAGGCATAATCACCATACTTGTCTCTACAAGGGAAAAAGCGCAGGTCATCAGAAGGAATTGGCAAGGTGTCCCTTCGTGGAGGCATAATCACCATACTTGTCTCTACAAGGGAAAAAGCGCAGGTCATCAGAAGGAATTGGCAAGGTGTCCCTTCGTGGAGGCATAATCACCATACTTGTCTCTACAAGGGAAAAAGCGCAGGTCATCAGAAGGAATTGGCAAGGTGTCCCTTCGTGGAGGCATAATCACCATACTTGTCTCTACAAGGGAAAAAGCGCAGGTCATCAGAAGGAATTGGCAAGGTGTCCCTTCGTGGAGGCATAATCACCATACTTGTCTCTACAAGGGAAAAAGCGCAGGTCATCAGAAGGAATTGGCAAGGTGTCCCTTCGTGGAGGCATAATCACCATACTTGTCTCTACAAGGGAAAAAGCGCAGGTCATCAGAAGGAATTGGCAAGGTGTCCCTTCGTGGAGGCATAATCACCATACTTGTCTCTACAAGGGAAAAAGCGCAGGTCATCAGAAGGAATTGGCAAGGTGTCCCTTCGTGGAGGCATAATCACCATACTTGTCTCTACAAGGGAAAAAGCGCAGGTCATCAGAAGGAATTGGCAAGGTGTCCCTTCGTGGAGGCATAATCACCATACTTGTCTCTACAAGGGAAAAAGCGCAGGTCATCAGAAGGAATTGGCAAGGTGTCCCTTCGTGGAGGCATAATCACCATACTTGTCTCTACAAGGGAAAAAGCGCAGGTCATCAGAAGGAATTGGCAAGGTGTCCCTTCGTGGAGGCATAATCACCATACTTGTCTCTACAAGGGAAAAAGCGCAGGTCATCAGAAGGAATTGGCAAGGTGTCCCTTCGTGGAGGCATAATCACCATACTTGTCTCTACAAGGGAAAAAGCGCAGGTCATCAGAAGGAATTGGCAAGGTGTCCCTTCGTGGAGGCATAATCACCATACTTGTCTCTACAAGGGAAAAAGCGCAGGTCATCAGAAGGAATTGGCAAGGTGTCCCTTCGTGGAGGCATAATCACCATACTTGTCTCTACAAGGGAAAAAGCGCAGGTCATCAGAAGGAATTGGCAAGGTGTCCCTTCGTGGAGGCATAATCACCATACTTGTCTCTACAAGGGAAAAAGCGCAGGTCATCAGAAGGAATTGGCAAGGTGTCCCTTCGTGGAGGCATAATCACCATACTTGTCTCTACAAGGGAAAAAGCGCAGGTCATCAGAAGGAATTGGCAAGGTGTCCCTTCGTGGAGGCATAATCACCATACTTGTCTCTACAAGGGAAAAAGCGCAGGTCATCAGAAGGAATTGGCAAGGTGTCCCTTCGTGGAGGCATAATCACCATACTTGTCTCTACAAGGGAAAAAGCGCAGGTCATCAGAAGGAATTGGCAAGGTGTCCCTTCGTGGAGGCATAATCACCATACTTGTCTCTACAAGGGAAAAAGCGCAGGTCATCAGAAGGAATTGGCAAGGTGTCCCTTCGTGGAGGCATAATCACCATACTTGTCTCTACAAGGGAAAAAGCGCAGGTCATCAGAAGGAATTGGCAAGGTGTCCCTTCGTGGAGGCATAATCACCATACTTGTCTCTACAAGGGAAAAAGCGCAGGTCATCAGAAGGAATTGGCAAGGTGTCCCTTCGTGGAGGCATAATCACCATACTTGTCTCTACAAGGGAAAAAGCGCAGGTCATCAGAAGGAATTGGCAAGGTGTCCCTTCGTGGAGGCATAATCACCATACTTGTCTCTACAAGGGAAAAAGCGCAGGTCATCAGAAGGAATTGGCAAGGTGTCCCTTCGTGGAGGCATAATCACCATACTTGTCTCTACAAGGGAAAAAGCGCAGGTCATCAGAAGGAATTGGCAAGGTGTCCCTTCGTGGAGGCATAATCACCATACTTGTCTCTACAAGGGAAAAAGCGCAGGTCATCAGAAGGAATTGGCAAGGTGTCCCTTCGTGGAGGCATAATCACCATACTTGTCTCTACAAGGGAAAAAGCGCAGGTCATCAGAAGGAATTGGCAAGGTGTCCCTTCGTGGAGGCATAATCACCATACTTGTCTCTACAAGGGAAAAAGCGCAGGTCATCAGAAGGAATTGGCAAGGTGTCCCTTCGTGGAGGCATAATCACCATACTTGTCTCTACAAGGGAAAAAGCGCAGGTCATCAGAAGGAATTGGCAAGGTGTCCCTTCGTGGAGGCATAATCACCATACTTGTCTCTACAAGGGAAAAAGCGCAGGTCATCAGAAGGAATTGGCAAGGTGTCCCTTCGTGGAGGCATAATCACCATACTTGTCTCTACAAGGGAAAAAGCGCAGGTCATCAGAAGGAATTGGCAAGGTGTCCCTTCGTGGAGGCATAATCACCATACTTGTCTCTACAAGGGAAAAAGCGCAGGTCATCAGAAGGAATTGGCAAGGTGTCCCTTCGTGGAGGCATAATCACCATACTTGTCTCTACAAGGGAAAAAGCGCAGGTCATCAGAAGGAATTGGCAAGGTGTCCCTTCGTGGAGGCATAATCACCATACTTGTCTCTACAAGGGAAAAAGCGCAGGTCATCAGAAGGAATTGGCAAGGTGTCCCTTCGTGGAGGCATAATCACCATACTTGTCTCTACAAGGGAAAAAGCGCAGGTCATCAGAAGGAATTGGCAAGGTGTCCCTTCGTGGAGGCATAATCACCATACTTGTCTCTACAAGGGAAAAAGCGCAGGTCATCAGAAGGAATTGGCAAGGTGTCCCTTCGTGGAGGCATAATCACCATACTTGTCTCTACAAGGGAAAAAGCGCAGGTCATCAGAAGGAATTGGCAAGGTGTCCCTTCGTGGAGGCATAATCACCATACTTGTCTCTACAAGGGAAAAAGCGCAGGTCATCAGAAGGAATTGGCAAGGTGTCCCTTCGTGGAGGCATAATCACCATACTTGTCTCTACAAGGGAAAAAGCGCAGGTCATCAGAAGGAATTGGCAAGGTGTCCCTTCGTGGAGGCATAATCACCATACTTGTCTCTACAAGGGAAAAAGCGCAGGTCATCAGAAGGAATTGGCAAGGTGTCCCTTCGTGGAGGCATAATCACCATACTTGTCTCTACAAGGGAAAAAGCGCAGGTCATCAGAAGGAATTGGCAAGGTGTCCCTTCGTGGAGGCATAATCACCATACTTGTCTCTACAAGGGAAAAAGCGCAGGTCATCAGAAGGAATTGGCAAGGTGTCCCTTCGTGGAGGCATAATCACCATACTTGTCTCTACAAGGGAAAAAGCGCAGGTCATCAGAAGGAATTGGCAAGGTGTCCCTTCGTGGAGGCATAATCACCATACTTGTCTCTACAAGGGAAAAAGCGCAGGTCATCAGAAGGAATTGGCAAGGTGTCCCTTCGTGGAGGCATAATCACCATACTTGTCTCTACAAGGGAAAAAGCGCAGGTCATCAGAAGGAATTGGCAAGGTGTCCCTTCGTGGAGGCATAATCACCATACTTGTCTCTACAAGGGAAAAAGCGCAGGTCATCAGAAGGAATTGGCANATATACTAATATACTAATTACATGGGATATAATAATATACTACACTAATAATGGATTTTTTCATACTTTTCGGTTATCCGACTTTTCAATTATCCGACCAACCCCAGTCCCCAATTAGGGCGGATAATCGAGGTTCTACTGTAGTTAAAACGAACTATTATCTAGAGATCATTTATCTTCCTTTTCATTCAAATCGTTTTGTAATTTATCGTAGTTGTCTTATTTTTCTTTCTCTTCCACTTGTTGTTATTACTTTTACTCTTTTTAAATTCTTATTTGTCTTCCATTTTTTGTTCTTATTTTGTTTTTTACTTACCCGGCTTTTAAATGACAGATGTAAAGTATAGCGATTGGTCAAAAAACCCGTAATATTTTTATGTTTTTGGACTCGGAGACTTTAAAACTTAAAGAAATGTAAACGGGTTTCCGTGCTTTCTTCATGTATAAATGTTAGTGCGTGAGGACCACAATTTTGTTCACCTATTTTGAAGCTGCGCTTTCTGTCGAAAAATTTCAGAAATCTTACCGAAAGATTCTATATATGGAAGATGGATACTACAAAATATTAGTGGTTTAAAATTTAAAGGTATATAGAGGGGTATACAGGTTTAATGTAAAAGGGTGTATAGGTTTAAAGTATAATACTGTATACAAAAGAGGATATACAGGTGCGTCGTCTGTCGTAACTCGATTATAATCGGATTTACTGAAGATTTTACTCGTCATTATCATTTACAAGTTGCTACAAAACTCCTCTCTATCCCTAAAATTAAGTTTGTCATTTAATCATAATTATTAACGTATAATAAAATAAAACATAAAATAATATCGTAACAGATGGCGTCACACGCAATTTCGAATGTTGTTACAGGGAAAGTGATGCAACTCGTTGCTGCATTTTTGGGTTACATCCTGAAAAATTGTAGACTTACAAATTCCCACTGTGTTCTGTCTGTCTGTTTCTCCTTAATCTCGGGTACAGGGCTAGATAGATGAACAAGACCAGCTATGAAAAGCGTAGGAGCTGTAGGCCTGGATTAATTATATCCGGTAGAAACGTATACAAATGTGAAGTCACATTATTTCATTTCTGTTTATCTTCATCTCCTGCTTACATAGCTGTCATATTAGTAAAAAAACTTATATGTTTTATGATAATAAAGGTCTCTTTAAATTGATCATCGAAAATACCCTTTTCTTATCTCCCGCTACACCCATTGTAGGCGTAGCCCAATTCAATCTTCAAGGCTCTCTTATTGCATAAACAGTGGAAAGTGTCAAAACAAGAAGTCAAACTTGAAATAGATTTCACTACTCTATGCAATTCCTATTGTTTGAGATAAACTCCTACTTTATGAACCCCCTTCAAATGCAAGCATCTATGATTAATTCTGATTTTTAATACCCGCAATTAATTTAATTGTTTTAATTGAAAATATTATTAAAAAAAACTATATAAAATGTTAAAAATAACCCCAAAAATGCTTTTTTATTATACACAAACACTCACTGCAGCTATATTTATTTTTTACAAACCACAAAATTTCACACGTTTAGTCTACATTGTCTACAATCTGGATGACCTTGATAACAGATGATGCTGCTTTCCCGGGTCGTCTACATATATGCTTCAGGGAAAGACAAGATTAAAGCAGGAGGGGAGCTAATTCACCAAATATATTCAAATATACCACAGATTTCCCGATTTCTTTGCAGTTAAAACACAGGGGAGACCGAAAAAAGGTATATATGAAAAATTCTACTGAATAAAAAAAAATTCTGCTGATGTTATAGAAATCATCCAATAGCATTTAAAAAATTTTACGGACGACAAATTAGTCAAATAGAAGTTTTGAATGATTTAATTACTTTGATAAAGAAATTACTCCCATAAAAAAAACAATAGCGCAATTAATTATCTAATTAAAAACTCGTCATAAAAAATTTTCGCGGCAAAAACAATTCATGAAATTCGCAGATANTCAAATAGAAGTTTTGAATGATTTAATTACTTTGATAAAGAAATTACTCCCATAAAAAAAACAATAGCGCAATTAATTATCTAATTAAAAACTCGTCATAAAAAATTTTCGCGGCAAAAACAATTCATGAAATTCGCAGATATCATCGATAACGATGTATATGTACGAATCCATTCATTTTTGGAAAAGTTACAGTACAGAAGAGATATAAACAGCGGGAGCATCAGAAACGTGCAGTGAACAGATTGTTCCATGTTTTCGCCTAAATAAAAATTGAGAAAGATACTGAAACTGAAAAAAAAAACTATAAAAAAGCGTTTCCTTTATGCGAAATTAGAATATAAAAATACTGGATATAGNACTTGTCTCTACAAGGGAAAAAGCGCAGGTCATCAGAAGGAATTGGCAAGGTGTCCCTTCGTGGAGGCATAATCACCATACTTGTCTCTACAAGGAAAAAGCGAAAGAGATAAGAACGATTTGTCAAGGTGTTCCTTCGTGGAGTCATTATCAATAATGCTTGTCTCTGCAAGAGAAGAAACCAAGAAAATATCAATTGAAATAGTAAAACAGAAATCTGTTTGCCTTCGATAATATTTCGATTACGTAACAAAATAATGGATCGTGACATGAGAAATGCTGTTTTTCCTAAAGATAAAAGCTTCATTCTATTCAAATCTTTAAGGCAGACAAAGGTTTTTTTTCTGAATCAAACAAATAATTACTTTCATTTGATCTCAAAATATGGAATCCGTGTTTAAATTTAAGAAATAGAGTTGGAATGCACACCGTTTAACACCTATTTATATGTTTTTTCTACGAAAGTGTTTTATCTTAGGTTTATTATTATTATTTGTAAAAATTATTACCATGATTGCAACTAAAGTCGTTAGTCTTTGTGTTGCGTTTTTCAAACAATAAATTAATGTGCCTTTCAAGTGTTTATTGTTCAATTTATTATAAAGTACATCCGAACAATTTTTAAATTTATTCCACGAAATTTAAACAGACAGAGATAGACCCTAGTTTGCTTACAAATGTAATAATAATTTCAATTATTCGTATGTGTATAGCATAAGAAATAGATCATGATATGACATTTGAAATGCGTTCAATGATATCCTAATGTATTTTTTATATAATTATGTGATGTAGTTATGAATAATACATACGCGAATAATTATGCCTTCCGGGAGGACTTTTAAGTGTGACTGGTTCCTATTTAGGCTTGCGGACGTGGAGAAAACCCGGAAAAGTCCACGTGGACAGCTAGTCCAGACGAGGCGTGAGCCCCTATCTAATTCTCACTGTTTGGGAAACGGAACATTTTGACCAATAGTCGGCCGTTTATTATTTCATCGCCGAAATTCGAGCGCCCTCTATAGAAAATGGCGCTTCCCAATACAACATCTATTCGCAAATAAACTATTTCGTTTACGTTTCCCAATACAACATCTATTCGGAAATGAACTCTTCTATCCTGTGAAAAAAAAGAATAAAGACAAACTGTGTTTATTATATGGAAAATGTTCGTGAAAATTAGATATTTGTCGTAACGTAACATCATTTCTTGTATACCCTCATCAATGCAGTTTGCCCTATGGGATTTCACTCATCAACGAATTTCGCGAATACGTTTCTCATAGGATTTGCATTATAAACCAAACTTTTACTTTTGGAAACAACTAAAAGTCATTTAGTGCGAACTTCGCATGATAAAACAACTTCTATTGAAAGTGTTGGAGCAATCCCTGTGGGCGTGCGTTGTTGTGAACAAAAACCATGCTCTTGAACAACACGCTTTCCCGTTTGTTCTAAATCTGTCTTTAAAGTTTTATAAAATTTCAACTTAGGCCTACATTTAAAAACTATTTCCGGCTCCATAAAATTTTTGAGAAACAGTCCAACAAAATTCTATTCATCGACTCTTTTCTAAATAACGATTGCTTAAACTTATTCGAAATGCGATTTAATCTTATTAACTACGAAATATGTTCTTTCCATATTTGACCGTGCAATTACTTTCCTTTCTCAAAATTCCGCTCACTTGAATACACGAAGAAAATATCGAATGAAGACCACTTATTACCTGAAAATAACGATATTTTATTAATGCCATTTATACCTGACGTTTAATTATCCGATTAGAAACAAATGACAATTTACTCTTATCGGGAAATCCCGTTTTATATAGAAGAATCCGCCAATGGATATGCCGAGAGGAATCTTTCCATATCTCTTCATAAAGTCGTTTATCTTTAAAAAAAACAATAATAAACTAATAAGTTTCTTATAATAAAATCCTATACTGTATATCTTTGATTAATTATTGAGGGTTTATCGTAGACATATCGAAAACAAAGATTATTTCCTTACAACAGAAATATTATAAGAAATACCTCAATAATTCGAGGATTTTCCAAACAAGTAAAATCGTTTTTTGTGTACTTACAGTGTTTATAGGTATTCTGTGGTCCACCATTAGAAATGAATCGTGAGTCTAGCAGTGGTGAAGTAGATAAAATAACTGAACACTGGTCTTATCGCGGGTTCGCCTTTAGCCAAGTGTTGTTTTCCGAGTTTTCTTCACGACGTCGTTATTGCAATGCAGCAGGTATTTATGTTGTACTGTACATTCCATATAAATTAAAAACATTAAAACTGCTGAGGAGGGACAAAAGAGTCCGAAACGCAATATTATGTTATGTGTCCAGGTATATGAAATAAAACAAATTTCTGATCTGTAAAACTTTGTTGAAGTATCTGTAAAGACAGTCTAATAAGTCCTGATAATAAAAAATACGTACTAGTAGACGTAAATTTATATTATAAGAAATAAAGAACATCGAGGCATATTAATTTGTTGTTAATGGTTTGGGTAGACACAGAAGCAGCCGTTGACGGCGACAACAGGCTTCGGGTGTCACGTGCAATGGTAAACTGTTCCCGACGAGCCGTTCTGCGAATCCTTCGGTCTGTGCGATCTATTAAACTACCAGCACTCATATCGAGAACAAAATAATCGTAATATATTCAAAAAATAGAAATAACATTGAAGTTTTATTTAAACAGAATGACACGTATATATTATAAGATATTGTAATTTATCTTCATTGGAGTACAACGCATGATCGGTACTTTGGGTATATCTTTTCTAATGATCTTAATCTATTCCCCAGTTTGTCAACAGCACTAAGAATTTATTTAACATGGCAAAGGATCCTTCTTAAAACTGAAAATTATAAAAAAAATATTTCTTCCCAGTACAATGACTCGGGATAGACTTAACAATTGAAGTCTTATTAGCATAGAACATCAAATTGCTACTAATTTTGATATGGAGGATTTAGCTAAAAATATTACCTCACGTGAATTTTACATAAAGCAGCATGCGAATAATTTATATTCATATTAAGAAATTATTGTAGTAGATGCTACGTGTAATTTTTTAAGAGGCATCGATAAAAGTATGCATATACAGTTTGAGCGGCCTTTTCTCTGTCACTTCTTCTGATCCTGCAATTTACATGTTGCTACGCGCATTCCTAATTAGTGTTGTATTTCAATTTGAGAGTTCGTATGAGATTTTGTGCAAATTTATGAAATATGTCATACTGAAATTCCTATTCAATATGCCATAACTTGTATATATCGTATATACAATGTATACTACTACAGAATGAATCTATAATAGGAACACGAGGCACCACGTATATTTATTACAACTTCATTCTGTAGTAATCTATAATATAAAGATATTTTATTTTTCTTATAAACTCCGTTTCGGATCTAATTACGTTTATTGTAATAAACTTGTAATTTCTATGGAAGTACAATTTGCGTTAAATAAATTCGATCGAAAATGATTATTTGCTCTTGTTTCGTCTTTCATGCATGGACAAGGAATCCAAAAGTACAGTCTAAATACTTTAGCTGAATTTAATACAGGGGCTAATATATACCCGATACAACGTTGTTTCTCTCCAAGTGACAGCATTTCTTCTGTGAATAAGACGAATTATTTTTATTATACGAAATATTCTATCTAATTTAAACACTTCAGCGAACACGTAAGAGTGAAAGCCCTACTGTCTTGTTTGTTGCTATGGTATAATATTAATTTTGTTTCAAAAATTGATAGCATATTTATTACTCTAGTATTACAGCAAGTACTCTGTAATGCAAAACTAATTTAAGAATTATTCGATATTTATCTACTTTTCACGTTTATTATACTCTCTATGTGTTATTTAATATCTTTTATGGAAATTATTTTTACCAGAAAGAATTTTAATCGACAGTCGTTATGCGCAGATTAATTTTCTTCTAATCAATTTATTGATTTTGCAGTTTTTCTCAGTGTACAGATACTTAATGCGTTGTTTAATAATATAAGCTTTTAAAATTGCTTAAATACTTTGCAGTGTTTATAGGCGTAGTAATTAGTTTCGTCCTAAAGTCTGGTTACAATTATATACGAATAAGAATATTTTAGAGACGGTTGAGATTAAATATGAATATTGATCCGTGGCATGCCGTGCATGGAATGTGTCGAAGCGCCGTTTCCTTGTATTTTCTAAAATATAAAGACATATATTGTGACATTCTTTTCATATTTTAACGTACTTTGAATTAATTAAAATTAATATTTTATTATAACCGCATTATGTATTTTATTAGAAATTTTTATACACGTGAAAAACAATAATAAGTTCGCTATTGGTATATTCGAATATAAATTCGTATATGCATATTCCTAATAGAAGCGTTGCATTTTCGAATACGAGTAAACAGTAAAGAATATTTAATGTTATGTCTAATTCACGTAGTGAATCGAAATATTTATATTCGTGTCCATACTATATTGGCAAGTCACTCTTACACATAAAACATATTATAAGTAATGACGATCCGATCAAAAACGTACTAAAACAATTATATGATTTAATACCAAAATTTTTACAGTAACATTTGCAAGTGCGTCTGCCTAGCGTAAAGTACCCTTTTGATCCGCGCATTTTTTTTTAAATTTTTAATTAAGCATAAAAAGTACTTAAAACTGAAAAAAAAAACGAAAGAAATGCGTTAATTTTGAAGAAAAAGCTGCTAACTTTAAGTTCCTTTGTCTGGCCTTTCTGCGAAATTTAACACCGATGAGTCATTGTTTACACAGCTGGATGACCTTGAACACAGCTGGAGTTTGATTTTCTGGGGCATTCTCATAGATGTCGGGGGAGGACCAGGGTTTAAAGTAGGGTGAATTCGAAATTAGCGTATATTTTTAAATATTTTTAAAAAATTAAAAATTTTATTGCGATTTCCGATCCCCGTAATTAATTAAATTTATATTAAAAAATCGATTAATTTAAAAAATTAAAAAACTATCGAAGGTTGTTTTTGACATCAGAAACCAGCTTTAAATAACTTTAACGAAGAAAAATCCGTGCACTACACCTTAGGAACCATGAAATAAATTTGATAAAAAACTCCCATTATAAAACAATTGAGCTTTAATCGAGCCTTATTAAAGGCTAATTAAAATCGCGATAAAATTTTTTCGCGCGGGCAAAAAATTTTGAAAAAATTTGGGGACCTAAAAAACATTCCAAAAATTCAAAAAAATAATTTTAAAAATGGCCTTAAGGATCACGTTTTTCGTAAGGCTATGTAGGCTTGACGAGTTATCTCGTCAATGGGAACTTTCAATTTCTACTTAGAAATAGACAAATTCATTTATTATAAAGGAGAAAAAAATTTATTTGAAAAACACAAATATTTGTTTTATTTGAGTCTCTAATTAATAAAAAGCAACAAAATACCATTTTAAAGTGCATTTTTATTCAACTAATATAAATAATATGTAGCCCAAAAGTAGCCAAGTGCCAAATGATATTTTTTTACATCAAACAAAAAAAGTAGCCACATT